ACATGTCAATGAAGGACAGGTTGGTGAGGAAGTAGTACATGGGGGTGTGGAGGTGGGAGTCCACTCTGATCACCAGCAGGATGAGGAGGTTCCCCAGCACAGTGAGAATGTAAATGACCAGGAAGAGGCCAAAGAGCATGGTGTCCAGCGCTGGAGCATGGGGAAGGCCTGTGAGGAAGAACGTTGTCACAAGGCTCCCGTTTGACATTTCTTCTCATATGTAGGACTGTGACCTTGTACATCGGAAGGCAAACCTAGTATTCATGGAGAACATATTTTGTGTGAAATATGGGAGCTCCTTTCTCTGTGGTTCAATTGTCATCTATATTTTATGCAGCCCCTTCACTTTGAAGGCAGCTTCTCAGGAGAAATGGATTCAACCTTATTTCAAGACCAAACTCAGCCATATATGGGAAAAAAAGTGTGAATTCATAAGAAATCAATTAAATTTCAAAAAGTTGAGCAAATATTTTTATTCTCTGTAGAATTTGAAAAGATATATTCAGGGTAATTTCTGTCTGATGTATTCAAATATTTCTGTCTATCTTTTTCTAACACATAGGCAGACACACACACAATTGCATATGCATATACACACACTCATATGCATATATACACCTTCAAACATTCAGTTCTCTGATCATCAGGGAATTTCTATTTTAGTACAATCTATAAAGTAATGAACATCCTGGATAGCGAGGGAAAACCATCTTTCTACATCTGCTCAGCAGCAGTTGGAATGAGGAGGCAGGGTAACAGCAGTGGCCCAGCATTTCTGGTAACCTCCTTCCATTCCTTTGTCCCATCTAGACCATGTCACCCTGGTCATATGAAAAATGTGAAACTAAACTAATGCAATGATAGACAGAGTATCATTTCTTTYCTCAACTCTTCTTACCTTTTAACCATTCCTATTTTTATTTTTTTCCATTTGTATTTTTTATTACTTCTCCCTTTAGGATATCAAATAATTGCCCACACTTCTGCTAATGCATGATCAAATCATCATATAAGTTATTTTGACGTATGCAAGAAAAATTAGATCTAATTAAGTAGTAAAGTGATACTAAACTGTATCTCTGGTGTTGGAGTTTTCAGGACTGAATTAAATATAATAATATACTTTTTATGAAACAAAAATTGTGCCTCTAAAGTAGAGATTAAGTATACAGTCTGAAATTACTCTTACTGTTTCTAAGACTTCTATTACTCCAGATCTCAGACTCAATATTTTTTCCTTTAGTGAGAAGACTGGAAGTCCTTGGAATTATTTTTTTAAGGAGAAAAGTAAAAAAAAAAAAACAAAACTGTGAAGAAATTTAAGAAAATCTGGTTGAAGGAACACTGCTTCACTAAATTCCAAGATGCTTCTGTCATATAAATTCATATCTGTAACAATTTTCATTTTGGGGTCTCTGAAAGAAACTCACTTTTCTATTGCAAAACTCGATGGAATTGAGTTGGATGCTTCGTCATAATATCAAGKTTTATGGAGAAAGGATTTCATTCATTTATGGTTTTAAAGCATTTTGAGTCCTTTATAAGACCATGCAAATGTTAACCAGCTCATGACTAAGGCAATCTAACCCAAAGCTACAGAAGAATGAAGCAAATCAAAACTGTGAGCACAAATACATTGTAATCACCCCTAAAATGCTCAGCAATGAAAAATACTGAGATTTTGCATTTTTTGCTACTTACCAATTTTATGACTAAGCTTTGTATCAAAAGGCAGAATCCAAAGCTTAAAGAATTCTTAGTCTTTGATGAGCAGTATTATTTTTTTCCTTGCATAGTTGAAAACAGAAGAAAACATTACAGAAACAAACTCTTTTTTATAGTTAATAGAGCTTAAAATATGTTTGATATCTCAGGAGGTACTGCCTTGGCCCTAGATTCCTCATTGATGGAGATAGTGTTCCTACATTGTGATAAATACTCAGAATTTTATCCAAGTGTGCCTATTAAAGTTGGTTTCGCTTTGATGGGGCATTGTTACTTAAGTCATTCTATGTAGCCAAAAATTAATTTCCAAAATAAATAAGCATGACACTCTAGGTTGAAGATTTCTTCTGCAGGGAATGATTAACTTTTTTTCCTGATATCTCCTTTGATTTCAAGAGTAGAAAATACCCCTGTGTTTCCCAAAGGGACAATTCTCTGGTGAGATTCATAGTCTCTTTGATGCATCTTTATCTTTCTGGGGATTATAGGCCATCACAAAAAGACGCTGTGGATCTGCTGTGCTCCAGGGATAATCAGAGCACTACTCCTTCTTAGATAAACATCTTACTAATTAAACATCCTCCCTGTGGAGCTTGGCAGGCTTGCACTCTGCAAGTTCCAGGCTAAGAAGGGATGTTGTCATCTTGTCTGGTCAGAGCTTCCCTTTTCTCTGACTCCAGTCTTAATACCTTCAATCCACTCACCTTAGAGCATGCTTACATTTTCTTTGTGAGTTTTTTTTTTTAAATCTTGCTTTATACTGACTAATTGTTCTGACTAAAAAGAGAGAAGGTATATATCTCTTCATATCTTCTTCTGAAGAAATGTGTGTTTTTGCTATTGTAAAAGGGTTTGTGAAAACAAGAAAAACTGATCTGATGTGTCAGAAGCACAAAGAACTGTCAGTTTTAGAAAAGGAAAATTGCAGTTTTGTGTGCCTTTTAGACTAACATATATGCTTTCACATGTATATGGAGAATAAAGCTCATTACAGAATGGATTTTGAAGAAATGAGGTCCTCTGAATTAATATTTCTGCCAGTTTCAAATTAACATATCACAACATCCTATTTTTCTGACATTGAGTGTCCATTTAAATTAAAACACATTTAATCYATGTAATATCAACATACTTCCTTTAAATGATATTTTAATAATTATTTGAGATTTAGCTCTGGTTAATGTTTTAAAATCTCTTTATGAATACATGTTATTAATTTTGGTTAATTTAAATATCTATCTTCTATTAAATACATTTATGAATGCTATTAACTTCCATTTTACTGTCTTGGATTATAAGGTATGAAATTATGTGTTACTTTTATGAAATGTTAATTTTGTATTTTCCAAATTAAATACCCATTAATTTCTTCTCTTATTGCTGTGGAAGAAAATACTATTGTTGCCCAAGTATTTGTCGTTCAAAGATTAACTGGATCTCTTATGAGTATTGAATAACTTGTGGCTTTTTCTATCAAGAAGTCAGTAGTGACTATTAAGTTTTATCTTCTTCAAGAATAAGAAAGAAATGATTTTCATTCCCACACAAATGGAAGGGAGAATAATAGAATATAGGAAGGGAATTAGGAGGGAGGGAGGAGGAGAGGGCTTGGGAAAGTACTGAAGAATAAAATCTACCAAACTATGCTGTGTCCATGTATGAATACACCACAATGAATCCCTCTTGTATATAATTATAATGCACTAATAAAATAATAATAATGATAAAATCATAATCATAATAATAGAAAGGATATTAATAGAGTAAGCAGGTTAGGAGAATGAGGAGAGGAGGAAAAGGTGCTGGGGAATAGATTTATCATATTTTGTGTGTGTACAAATATGACAATAATGAATCCCACTATTATGTATAATTATAATATACCAATAAAAATATATGTAAGAAATGAATCACTTTTGGTTCTGCATTGCTAAAACCCAGTGAGATTCTATGTGATGGACAACCCAAAACTTTCTCTTTTTTTCTAGTTTTATTGAGTTTTAACTGACAAAGTTACATACATTTGAAGTGTACAATATGATAATTTTGATACATGTACACTTTGTGAAATGATTGATACAATCAAGTTAATTAACACAGCCATCAACTCACATTGTTACCATTAATTTGTGATGGGAATACTAACAATCTTCTCTCAGAAAATTTCAAGCATATGACACAGGATTCTTATTTATTTTTTCAAAGAATCAACGTTTTGTTCTGTTAATTTTTTGAATTTTTTTTGTTTTAATTTCATTGATTTCAATTATTTCCCATCTTCTACTGCTTTGGTATTGATTTGTTATTTTTCTAGAGCTTTGAWATGTAATGTTAGGTCATTTAATTTGTTGACTTTTTATTCTTGAGATAAATGAGCTCAGTGCAATGAACTTTCCTCTTAGTACTGCCTGCATAGTGTCCCAGAGATTTTGATATGTTTTCTAGGTATTCTCATTTGTCTCTAAGTATAATTTTTTATTTCGTCCTTGATTTCTTCTGCTATCCATTTGTCATTCAATAGTATATTATTTGGTCTCCAGGT